CAAAGCCCAAGACCCCGCCAGCTGCTCGGCCAGTCCGCCGCCCGCGTCAACCTCGTCTACAGCCGCGCCGTCAAGAGGTTCCGCGCAGACCACCACCTCTGGCTCCACTACGCAAAGCACTGCGTTAATACAGGCTCCCATAAGGCCGCCGCCAAGGTCCTGGCCAGCGCCATCGCCTATATGCCCGATGCGAGCGACGTCTGTCTCGCCGCTGTCGCCTTCCATTTCGATACCTGCGCCGACGCCGAAAGTGCAAGGGCCATCGCCCAGAGGGGCTTGAGAGCTCTTCCGCATTCTCTCCCTATGTGGACAGAGTACTTTCGAATGGAGCTTTGCTATTTGGCAAAGCTTGTTTCGAGGCGCATCGCCATGGGGCTCCCGCTCTCTGGTACCGCGCCTGAACCCTCCCAACCTCCGGAGCAGCAGGAGCAGCACGCAAATGAACCTCCTCCCGACCAAGTCGCGGTAGACTCTGCAGGTGACAGTCCCCCGTCTCACCCGTCTTCGTCTGGGAGTGAAAACATGTCGTTTTGGGACGGTGGCATTCCCATGGCGGTGTACACCAACGCCTGCGAAACTTGACCCTCACGCCTCAACACCGCGTCCATTTCTGGCACATCGTCGCCACCACGCCCTATGCACCGAAACAGCTGCTCCGGTCTCTAGCGTCAGCTATGCTCAAGCAACATCCGCATTGCATCATCTCCCGTCTTGTCAATATCCAATTGAATTGGGACCTTTTGCATGCACAATTGATACAGGAATCGTCTCCCGCTGAAGCCACACACGACAACGACAATGACTATGGGAACAAAGAACCTGACCAACAGACCAAGGACATGCAGCATCGCCTTGCCGATCACGCCCTGGAGACTATAAACAAGATGCAACAGCTTCTCTCCGAGCGCCCGCTGGCAGCAAGCATTGACACTTGTAAGCCGGCCGTGCAATCGTTTTGGGAAAACCTAATGGCCCTTATCAGCACTTGCGAACAGCACCAGGCAGCTACTTCCCTCGCCAAGAAAGTGCTTGTCCTCATCAAGTCTGGAAAAGTTTTCAGTGGTGATTTTTCTAGCAGCGGAACGAAAGGCCCCGACGGTGTGGATCCCAAAGACACTCACACCTGGTCTATGAACCACTTTGCGAACATGCTAGAATCAAAAACTTGTCCCTTGTCAAGAAAATCGCACGATGTGTTGACGGCCAAGGTTCTCATCCCCTTTCGAGGGCGCGATGAGGAGAGAGCTCTCTGCGCATGGTTATCTTCAGAGGGCAATCTGAAACAGTTGCAGGGCATTTGCGATACCATGCTTTCCCTGCCCCCGCTCACATTGAAGTCATTACACTCGGCCATCCGGTCTCAAATGAAATGATTTATGACCGCATGCAGAGTCAGGGACAACTATCTGGTGCAGACGTGCTTCAGCTCTCTTTCCAAACAAGAAAACTTTTTAAAGCAGCAACGATTAGAGAAGACGGGGGCCGAAGCGGGCGCTCGAATTATGCGGCGCGACAGACAATGTGGCGAGCGACTAGAGGCGGGAGCGACAAGCCGCAGCAACAGTCGCTGCGCAACCGGCTTGCATTGCTGTCATGACGAGCGGGCAGTTTCGGGGTCCGCGCGTGACACGTGCGCGAGGCAGTGGCCGCCACTGCCGCCCTTCAGGACCGTACACGCCACTCAGTGGCGTGTACGGTCCTGAAGGGCGCGCACCACCAATGTCCCACCAAATGTCCCACTCAAATGTGATTCTTTAAAGCCCGCCCTGTGATAAATTTTATAAGATAAAATAAAGATGGCACCAATCGCCGCTGGTCACCCCGATTGGCCGTTTCTCGCAACCGCCCCGCCTGCCACAAGATAAACTTTACGCACCAGGCACACGTCAGCCGCGCTGCAGGCGCGCGCTCGACCCGAGCTAGAAGAGACCGCACGCTCTTCGTTCCCGGCGTTGCTGCCGCGCGCTGTGCGCGGCGCCGAGCGCTCCCACGCGTCCCGAGAGACGTGCCGAACTTTACTCGCTCCGATGCATGCCGCATGCGTACTGTAGTACTGCTGGGCGGTCATGCTTGGGCTTGGGAGATGTGCAAACATGAGTGGCGAGTTGAGGGCAGCCTCGTGATCTTGCCAGTGTGCCGAACTAAAGTTTATATACTCAGATCGTGCAGTTGGGCTCAAACGCATTCAATCCATTTGTTGCATGCCGCACAACTTGGTGCGACGATTTCATTCCCGGACGTGCTACGGAATTTGGAAGAGAGGAAGCAATACTCAGAGGAGGACACGTTCTCGCCTCTGCTTACAGCACATCCCTCGCCACACGTGTACGATTCTCAGTAGGTCCACGTAGTACTGTACCGGATCGCAATCTACTGATTCATCGAGCCCATCGATTTCCCACCCAATACCACCGTCGCATCCCCCTCACCCTTCACCTCCGCCCCCCCCTTTGCGCGCGATGCCATCCCGCGTGCGCGACCGTCCCCCGCCGACAGCCCGCCGCCGGCGGCGACGAACATCGCCACGGCGTACCCGCCGTCGGCGCCCGCGCCAGCTCGCCCTGGTCACGCTCTTCGGCGCTGCCCTCGTCCTGCTCGTGCACAACGTCGACCACCCGGCCGCCGCCCGCGTCAAGGCCGCCGTCACGTCCGCGCTGTCCGCCGCCTCTCCGCGCACCCCCTCATCGGACCCCACGGCCCACCTCCCCGCCGGCCCGCGCCTCGCCGTGTGCTTCGCCGGCCACGTCGGGCGCCAGCAGCCCTCGCAGCAGCTCGACGTCCGTGAGCGCGACGGTCATGCCGCCGCCCGTGAGCGGGTGGCGCATGTTGAAGGCGTCGCCCAGCAGCACGGCGCCCGGCACGACGTGTGCCGGGGCCGGCATGACGCGGTTGGGCATCATCTTGGAGCGGCGCTCCCTCACGGTCGTGGCGAGCGGGGCGCGCAGCGACGGCGGCACCTGCGGCACGACGGTGTGCAGGATGTATTCGGCCGCGTTGCCCGCGTAGGTCGACCAGACAGCGGACCTCGGTGGCGCTGATCGGGTAGAACAGGACCGGGCACGGGTGGGCCAGGACGACGTGGCCGTGGTTCGGGAACGGCAGGGCCGGGACGTGCAGCACGAGGCCGTGGAAGTTGGAGTAGACGGTGACGTGGTGGTGGGCGGCGGCGCGCTTCCTCAGGGCGCTCCCGCACCCGTCGCAGGCGATGGTGAGGCCCGCATGTGCCGTGGCGGCCTTGTTCCCGCGCGTGGCGTAGCGCACGCCGACGACGGCGCCGTCGCGCTCGAGCAAGGCGAGGACGTTGCCCTCGATGAGGGTGACGTTGGGGTGCGCGCGCGCGATCTCGCGCAGGCGCTTGAGGAAGCGGCCGTTGTGAAAGGCGCGGCCCTCGGGCTGCGGGCGCGCGGCGGGGTCGGGGTCGGGCTCGCCCGGCTGGTGGTACGGCAGGCGCTCGGCGCGCGGGCCCAGGAAGAGGGCGTAGCCGCGGATCACCTGGGCGTCGATGTGAAGCAGCGCATCCGCCAGGCCCAGGCGGCACAGGGCGTCGTGTCTTGGACGGTGTTTGGACGGCGGGTGACCACGCACGTGTGGGGGAAGGGGAGGGGGGCTCGGACGGGAGAGGGAGCTTGGATGGGGTAGGGGGACGGGGACGGGCAGTGGGAGTGTGTTGAGGGAGGGTAGAGATTGTGGGGGGGTAGGAATAGAACACGTGCGGGGGTCGCGCGGGCGGGTCAGGGTGGCGGGGCGCGGCAACCATGGACAGCCTACGACCGCGTACAGTACGGTGGCTAGAGAAACCTAGAAATGCAAAAGGAGGACCGCCAATGCAACTCCGTCCAACCTCCTTTAATCATCCAACCACCCGCCGAAATCGACTCGGACGGATGATCCTCCTAGTATCCTCCTCGTACCCTCCTATCATACTCCTTACAGTCCTACTGTACTCCTTCTACAGAGAAAATGTTCGCTAGGGAGGCTTTCTCCAGTTCCGGTGTAACTTCTTCGCGTCTGTAAGGATACGTCTCATTCCTCTTTTGACGCATGCGTAAACCTGTGCAGCTTCTTTGCCACGTTTAGTTCATATCTCTTGACAGAACTTGCCATCAGAGTACTGTACGTTGATTTCGTATGTGGCATGATATCCATGCGTACTCGTTCGTCCCCGTCTGCGTCTTTCTCGATGTATGTGTTGAAGACTCTGGGCGTCTCGCCGTGTGGCCTGTGGATAATAATTCTCGGTGATCTGTCGTTGTTGATGGCATTTGAGTGCCTCTTCACGTCTAGCCCTATGAGCAGGGGCGATTCTCCATCTACAAGATCGAAAGTCAGTGTCGTGTTTCTCCCTTGCACATCAATGGCGTGAAGATCCCATGTACAAATGATTGGTTTAGGATCTGAACACTGTGTTCCCCATCCGTGATAGTACTCTCCACGTGGTGCTCGAACTGAAAAAGGTATACCTATGTATTCGCACAGCTTAGCAGCATTGACTGTTCCTCCTGAAGAGGATGGAACTCCTTCGTCTAAAATGGGGTTGAGGTCAGTACGGAGCGTGACTGGCCTCAACGCCGAAAAAACGAGTTCTTCCTCGGGTTCTTATCTCTTCTACTGTCTTCATCTATCTGGGCGTCAGAATGCGATTCTGACTCTGAATCAGGCTTCTTGCTGGCGAAAGATACACGCTTGTGCTGTCTGTAGTCCTTCTTTCCAAAGTGTGCGTCCCTTTTCTTATCGCGTTTCGCTCTGATCCCGTCGAGACATGTTTTGCGGTCTCGATACCAATTGTGGTATAACTACCTTCGTCCCGACCACTCGGAAACGAGGGGGGTTAGAGGTAAGGGAGCGCGCGCCGCTGGGTAACCCACGCGCGAACGCAAACCGTACGGAAGGACTCGAAAAGAGGGAAGGCTCATGTGGCCGGTGACGCGGAGCCGGTCGGTAGTGTTAGATCCGGACGGCCGGTCACGGGTTAGAAGCCTGAGACTAAAAGGGAAACTGGAACGGGATAGCAATTAGCCGTAAAGGGAAGGGAGGCGAGTCTGCCTCCCGTTTACTAGAACGGGGAAGGTGCCCCCGGTCTTAACCCCTAAGTGGGACGCCAGGACACCTGTCCCGCTACAGTAGCTGTTACTTACTGTATACCAGCTACTGTGCTAAATTGGCTAATTTGTGGCATTAACTACTAATTACTAATTACTTACCGTTCGGATCCTACACGTGTAGCCAACGGGGTACTACTGTACTCCGCACCGGCCGTGTGCTGTAAATATAACTCCTTACAGTTCTTCTCGCGCTTACAGACCATCGTACTGTATCCCGGGGCCGCAGCGGCGGTGCCGTTGCCTTCGCGCCGTTGTACTACAGACCCCCTTCCTTACTTCGCGACACGTCCCCGTCGCGGCGGACTAAAATCCGTGCTAGCTGTGACGGTCTTCTATCCCGAACGGAGCCCATGCGTCGGCCGCGGAGACGCGGCCGTACAGTACGTACTTTCCTCGAGTCCTCAAACCCGCATGCACACCCGCAGCGGCGGTCATCTCCCGACCCGCGCGGAGGAGTTCAGCGCTCCTGCGGTTCCCGGTTCCATCCGCGGTACGCCACCGTTTGGATTGGGCGGCTTCCGCCTGCGCCGGGCATGGAACAAACGGCGCAAAGAAGCCTTTTCCCAGGACCCCCCGGAGGGCTGGCCGTTTTCCCAAAAATGGCGCTCTCCCACCCGCGAGACAGCGGGGTGTGTGACCGCCAGCATGTCCATGCGGTTACTGGGGAGCTCCCGGCTGCGGTACGCTCTGCCGTTCGTCCAAAACCGGTGGGTAAGTCCTGCAGTTGCCACTTTCCGCGGAGGCGCGATTTGGAAACGAAAGGAAACTGTAAAAACGAGCAGAAACAGCGTTTTACAGTTCCGGTTTCCAAATCCGCCTGTGCCTTCCCAAAGTCGGTTTTCCGTCTTGGGAACTCCGGACGCGGGCAGACCCGGGGAGTACAATGCCGTTAACGGGAGGGAGCTACAATTTTTTCCCACGTTTCTAGGAGGAAAAACGTAGCCCCTCTTTGGGCTTAATTAAAAGCCGGGGACCGGAGTCGCCTCCTTGCCGTCCAGGGGCGTTCCGCGCCAGGTTAATCCGGCACGAGGCAGCGGTAGCGCGCGGTCACTTGCGCGCTATGCAATAGCGGGTTGGCGCTTGGGGGCGTCCTGTGGCACGCCACGCCGGGGTCGTCCGCGGCGGTGAGATCCTCCCGGCGGCCGGGTCGTGGGTACCGCTGCGAGCTTTTCCCCGAGCTTCACTATCGGTGTTGGGGCCGGCGCGCGTCGCGTTTCGCGGGGCGAGGGACCGCCTGGTCGTCATGACGGTTCATTGCGGGGGCGGGCTTC